TCTACTTGAAATGTTAGGGAGAGCAATATTCAGTGACACAAAGGAATCAGATACTTCTGCAAAGTACTAAGTTTTCGCTGCATTTAAGTTATTCTGCTTAATTTTACTTTTTAAGGCTTTAATTTTTCCTCTTATTTCTTATTGTCATTTGGAAAATTCTGAATGCTGAGGACAGAGCACTTTAATGGGCATTTTGTTGTGAGTTTGTTTTGTTGATTAATCTATGTGTCTATGCTCTTTAAAAACCTCTTATTGTGTTCCTTAGTACTTTAGTTATGTCCCTTTAAATTTCAGAAGTCTGCTACTTCTGCCTTGAGAAATTATGAATTGTATTTTAAGATTTCAAAAATCTCTTTACTAAAAGAAAGTTCTTTGTCAAATGAACCCATTTTCCCATGGAATTTCAGTTTTTGCATATTATGATATTATGACTCAGACTTTTAGAACTTTTGTCTTTTGTTTTTTTTCTTCCAGAGTTTAACTGAAATTCTTTCTCCCATTTTCTTTCCTCCCTACTCTTTTCTATTTGTCTAACTTCTTTTTCCTTCTGTGCTATTTTTCTTTGTTGAACATTCTTCAAGTACTGAAATATTTTTTAAAAATTAAGTTTACTAGGAGATCTTTTTGTGGCTTGAAAATTTGACAATTATTTCCTCTTCAAATAATCGATTCATTTCAAGTATGTCTCTGTGTGGTTGTTTGTTTGTTTGTTTCTTTTGGCAGGGAAATAGTAGCTTTCCCCTGAAGTGGTAAACCCTCAACACCTGGGATACGATGTTAGCTTTTCTATGGCCTCTTAGGCCGGGCACTGAACCATCAGTTTCTTCAAAAGGCAGTGTGACCTACTGCCACTCTCACCAGCAAAGATCATCTTTAAAACTTTTTATTCATTCACTGTATATCATTATAGCATACAAAATGAATTTTCCCATCCAGAAAACACTGAATTTAGAAGTATGGCTTTCATATAGGATCATTGGAAAAGTCATGATGCATTTTTTGGTAAGAAACAGAAAAAAATATGTCATGGCTTCTGATGACCCAATATTTAAGATTTAAAAGTATCAATCAATATTAGGAATAACGAGCATATTCAAGTTGTGTGTATTTAATATGATCAGTTAGTAATAACTATCTGGAGCTGAAGGAACTTATAAGAATTTTAGGATTTATGTGGGCTGAGCAGGAAAGAGAACTAGGTTACTGATGTCTGCCATGGCTAAAGGCGTGAGCAGAGGTACAACACATACATAGTTTACTCCTGGCTTAAAGTAGTCTAAAATAATGAGCGTAAGGGAAATTTTTGAATTGAGAATTTTGTGACCTTGCCCCGCTGAAGAGGAATAAGGACAGTGAAAGATATCCACTTACTGGCTTTTGGAGCAGATAAACTTAACTATAAGATTAAGGTATCTTGCCTATACTGTCTGTTTTTGGATGAAGGACACAGTCTATATGGGTATTCTTCCTAACGAGAACATCAGGATTGGTTCTCTTTAAGACTACCAAGTGTTATATAAGACAGAAATCCTGGCTATCTTTTTGATGGTTACAAACTCAGTTGCCTTTAGGGGCCTAGCAGGTCTCATGATTGTGAATCTGCCAGTTATAAAGGAGAGTGGAGCTGGCCATTTGAAAATGCTGTGCTGGCCAAACAAAGCACATCTACAGGGACCAGCAGGTGGTGTGGTGGTTAAGGTGCTGCACACTTCCACATAGCTGACCCTGGTACGAGTCCCGAACCTGGTGGGTTGCTTTCTCACTTTCTCTCTCTCTCTCTCTTTCAGTGTTTCTCTCTGGTCAAATTAAAATAAATGAATGAATAAAAAGAATTAAATAATTATTTAAAAAACAAACAAAAAAGCCCCACATCTGCAGGTGGCAGTGGGTAGCAGCGGCTAATCTGGGAGCTCTGCTTGGAGGTGCGAGAGGATCCCTGTGTACTCCAGCAGGGGAGTGTGAGATCAGCGTCATGCCAGTTGTGGGGTGAGTTAAG